CAGCAGGATTAAGCAAAACTGGTTTTTTGCTGTCCCAGTGATGTTCCTGCCAAGGAAGGAAAAGGGGCAGAGCTGAAGGAAAAGCTTTGGAACCACACCGCTGGGGCATGAAGGGCTAAGAACAGCAAGTGCTGCTTCTGCAGGGAATGTCTGTACCAGTAGCACTGGCTGTCCTGCACAGCTAATAGGAGCAGCAGCAACCCAGCACCCAGCCTGCCTTCCCAGCAGCCCAGCACTGGCAGAGCAGGCAGCGTAGATCCAACAGGCTGTGGCCTAATGCTTCAGTACAGGCAGCCTGTCCCTTGCTAGTGTCCAACTTGACAGCATTGCATATTGCAGCTGGCAGGTGCTGCAGATAGGAGCTAGCCACATTCCTCCTTGATAATGTTTCTAGCCCCTTTTCTTTGTCAGGATCAAAAGAAGGGGGAAAAGAATATTCCTCTGCAGGTCTCTGCATCCCTTGCACTCTTTCACAGTGATAACCACACTGCAGTACATCACTGGGATATGAATCATCCCCCCAAGGACCTTTGGTCAGTAAATAAGTAAATGGAGAAAAGAAGAAAGTGCTTAATCTTTTTACAAGGAATTTGCTATGCTATGAGTTCTAATGGCAAATGCTTAGTCATTCGATCGCACCAGTGGACTTATCTGTATAATCAAAGGTTCATTTAATAATAGTTTAGAAAACATTAGAGCAGAATTGAAAGGAAATTTTCATGCTAATGAATTGAAGCCTTCATCAAAAACATTGACTGTTTCTTAGCTATTTCTGGTTTAAAGTCAGTTTTTCTCACCCTAAACAAGATGGTAAGTGGGTCAGTTAATATTCCTTTTTGCTGACATCAAATAATGGCTTGAGTTTGGCTTCAGTTGACAGCAGGGCTGCCTACTTTGCAGTCTGGCAATACATTTGGTCAGAATTTGATGGGCCTAACTCATGTGTGATCTCATAGTGCTTGGTCTGTAGCCAAATTCCACCTGCCTCAACCCTGCCCTCTGTTACGTTCATCAGACTGCACCGACTTCACCGAGCAGTACGTTTCCTTGACCTCTGAGAGTTAAAAGGTCAGAGAATGGGTATAGGATGAAGTCTGAATGAATGCTGTCCTGTGACTGACATCATTTAATGGCAAGTCATTCTGGCCCAGATCTGTAGGCTCCTCATCTGTTTCTTTACCACCTCCAGTCTTTTAAAAGGCAATGGTAAGCTACAGATGTTCACCAAGGTAACTGGACCATCCTACAGCATCTGGAGAGGCCTGCTGAATTCATGTCATGCTGCTCTATAAACGCAATAATGTGAGCAACTGCCAGAATTTGCTTCAATAGCAGCTTGGCCAGGCAATATCCATACGAATTAACTGCACTTTCCATGAACTGGTTAGATGCAGTCGAGATCCATAAATCTACCTGGGAGGTTTCTTTCACTTCCTCAATGCTCATCTGCCATTTATCCCCATCACTACTGCTGAGCTTGGTGAAGCTGCCTATGTGCTGAGCTCACCTCAAAGCTAATCAGCTGCACGGGGCTTCAGGTCAAGCCACAGGTCCCCATGTGGAAACCTCACTGGCCAGGTAGGTTTATCCTTCCTTTGTGTCCTGAGCCTGCCTAAAACAAATGTTCACCCGAGAAGAAGATGCTCTGCTTGTTTGAACAAGCCTACCAGCTTGAGTGCTCAGCTGGATGTGAGACATCCAGTGGAAACTCCTGGTTTTGTGCCTGTGTTGGTGCTGGGGCTGTTTCTCACAAACTGGTACCAACATATAGGCTAGAAAACCAGCTGGTTTTGTGAACCAATATTTAATCATTTATACATAATTGAACAGTTTGACAGGGAAGAGCAAGACAATCCTCTTCCCAGCATGTCCTGGATCCTCTTGCTAAGCCTTGCCTCTAGAAAACGGGGCACATGGACTAAAATCTGAACCAGGCAGAACATACACCCTTAGGTATAACATATATTAACATATTAACATATATCCTTAGCCAGTGTTCTCACCATTAATAGCTGACCAATGGAGAAGGGAGAGTGTAAAACAAGGGGTGCTCTTCTCTCTCATTTCAAGCAGAAAAATGAGCACAGAATAGAACTCTGGGAAAGAGAACACGGCTGAGAACCCCTGCTTGGACAGTACGTCCCTCCCCGCAGCCACTTATAAGTCCACATCTTTTACCTTTCCCTCTGAATTTCATTCCTGGTTCGCCGAGGCAGCTTCCTGCTCCGTTGGTTTCTTAGAGTCCCTTTCCCAAAGACACAGCTTGCTGCAGGGAGGCTTGCACAGGAACCTGAGTACCTAAAAAGAGGAGTTGCAATTACAACACCTAGTGCCTCGAGGACTGGGCCAAGCGTTTCAGGTGTAGGAAGATAACATGGGTTTCACAATGTTTGGCCCAAATCCTTTTTTTGGGCCCTGTATATACCTCTCCTGTAAATCTACCAAAATTAAGAAAGTCATTTAGGGGACAGAAGTTTGAAAGCTTGCAGTCAACTTACCTACACACTTTGTATTGACAAGACTAAACTAGAAATCTTCTAAGCATTGCTGGTAAGTCCAACCGCATTTCCTTGTAGACCAGACCTTCCTAACCTCATGGTATCACAGTATTCCACCTATTTCTCTGCTGGTTCTGACTGAAGGCAGGAATGGAGCAATCTGAGAAAATGACGCTTAATTGAAGAAAACTTGACAGAATCATTCCAAGTATCTGAAGCAATTTATTTGGGGTTTAAGTCAAAGTCTAGATCCTTCATTATTTTATTTAAGCTGATTCACCTATATAGCCATGAAAAATAGAGTTAGGAAAGACAAATCCACCCACTACAAGGCAGGAACTACTCTACTTAAGTCATTTAGCAGTTACTCTAATCTGTTCTTAAAAGTCTCCAGCGTGGGAGCTGCTGCCATCTCCCTACACAATCTGTTCTCATGCCTTTCCACCTTTTCCATTGGCAAGTTTTTTCCAATGTCTGGCCTAAATCTCACTGGTGAATAAACGGTAGGGAAAAAAATATGCATTATTTTCCAGCAGGATCTGCCTTATTTGTGGCTCCTCATCTTTCTCTTACATGATTTTCCCACATCCAATTTTAATTTGGCCCAAAGGCTGGCAGCGGCCAGAAGGCGTTCAGACTTTCTGCAGCCAATTTACTTATTCCCTTTTCTCCCCCAATGCCTCCAGGTGACTCTCCTGCTGTACGACTCAACCAGAATGAGGCAGCTGCTTTCCAAGTCTGTCGTGATTGATGATGATGATGACGACGAATATCCCTGGAGGCAGAATGCTCACAAGTACTACATCCATCTAACCCTCAGCCTTTTCCTCTTTCTCTGGTTCATTCTTGGGAACTACTGGGTTTTTTCTGTGTACTTGCCAAATTTCATCCCACCTTTCCATCAGCCTCAGGATTACTGCGACAAAACCCTGTACATTTTTGCTGTTGGTGTTCTCATTATTAGCCATACTGTTCTCTTTCTCCTTATCTTTTGTAGCTGCTGCATATATTGTTTTTCCAGGCAAAGATACTCTTCTGAGGA